GAAACAAATGCCATCAGATCTCAATCACTACTAACCAAACTGTTAAACATCAGTAAGAAAGCATGCAGGTACAGGAAGCAATCTGCCTTTAAAAACAAACAAAAAATCCTAATATGTAGCCATTAAACTAAAAGTGACTGAATGATTTCCCATCTTTTAAGTTATTTATTCTTGATGCCTATGAGATCCAAGCAGAGGTATATAACAAAAAAAAATTAACTTCTGCAGTACAGTAGCCCATATTTCAATTCTCCAAGGTTGTAAAGCAATTATTCTACTCCCTACAATAGAAGTACATTAAAAGGTATTATTTTCCCCCACCTTATAAAAAGTGGAACCTCAGAACTGAACAAAATTAGCCAAAGATCAAGCCAAATTAAGAAACATTTTAATACACAAAATCCTCTACATTAATACGAATCCTCACTAGTTGAATAATTTCATACAAGTTTGTACATTACAACGTTTTTAAAAAAGGAAAAAAAATATCCATTCCAACAACTTGGGCATCAATTAACAATTAGCACTGAATGTGTAACTCACCACCCAAAAAGATTTATGCACCAAAGTAAATTGCATACAAAAAAAAGTTAATCTACCTAACATTTTAAATCTATAAAATATTTTTTTAAAAACCAAAAATACAAAAGTTGATGCAATATAAAAATACTACACTAAAATTATTTTAGGCCATTTGTTCAACTTGAAATCTTTTTCAGCTCTACTCTCCAGTTCCTGGGAAAGAAGTGGTCTATCTTCAGATACATATATTCTATATGGCACCCAGGGAACCAACTTCTAGCATCCAGTAGGTCTAAAATGGGTCTCAAGACCATAGCATTTGCCCTTGTAATAAACTTCCAAGGTGTAGGCAGCTTTTGTACCTTGCCAAGTAGAAGCTGCCTGTATATATGGCAGATTTCTTTCCTCTCAAAGGCTTTCAGATGCACATATGTACATTAAAAAAAAGTGTAATCCTAAAGAGTCACTCACATGTATCATTTTGCTTCTTTGATAAAAGTAAAAAGATAAACAGAAGTCAAACCCAAGCCCAGTGGGAGCAATACATTTCAGAGACAGTTTACTTCTTGGTAGGCTCTTTGTGCTCTTGGTTGAAATCAGTCTACTCTGTTCTTCTCAATAATTTCTGAGAATCAAAACCGGGGGGGGGAGGGGGAGGAGGAGACATGCAGGTTAAATTGTGTGCACAACATTCAGCAATTTCTGTACATAAAAGTTACCATAATCTGGCTCTCAAACAAAACATGACTGACAGTACCCTGGAGTACTCTGTTTTTCAAAGCAAAAAGTATCCCATAGCCTTTTGCTGGACACTGTAAACAGAGATTTAAGTATGTGCGCAACTGAGGAAAAAAATGAAATGGAAACTGACAGTGAACAAGAAAACAAATCATTGTTATTCAGGCTAATAGGGTGTTCTGGTGACTCCGAGTGGTAGGTCAGGCTCTCATAAAACAGTAGGAGGAGTCTCTATCAAGAACAAAACAAAAAGTTTCAGTTGGTTTCTCTTTTTCTGGGAAGAGACATGCACCAAAAAAATAGCCACCTTGCACAAGTTACCCTGGGTCATTATAATGAAGCCTGAATTGTTTTTCAGCCCCCAGATATGCAATCCAGCACAGAGAGCTTAACTGCTTCACCAAGTACATTCAGACAACCAGAAGCATCTAGTGTTAAAATTGCAACTACTGTCCGCTCACCCCGAAATATATGGATGCAGGAAAGCTGCTTTTAGGTGGCCCTAGAAAAAGCCCTTCCCTGTTGACAAGGCTTAGACTTCACTTTCCTCAAAAAAAATTAACCTGGCCTTCCACAAAGCTTGTGGAATGGTCTTTGACTAATTGTTAAAATGACTTAACCGATTCCCAGTTGTCAAGACTCTGGTGCCCATCTGATTCCCCAAAAGAAAACAAGAAAAGAACTAGAACAAAGAATGTTGCACCATAGACAAGAATGGCTTTTAATGATCCTGGTGAAGGCAGATGGAGGCTGCTGCAGGAAGGCACAAAGTATGAAGGGATGGGGTGCTTTAGAGATCACTGGCACCATCCAGGAGAGAAATACATGGCAAAGGGGGTTTGTGCTGCAAATGGCCAGATCTAGCTCATGGTTGTAGACTGCTAGCCTCTGGCCTGTACACACACACTGCATTACCTAGAAGGTGATACTTTATACTAAAGTCATTTTTCAAAGAAGCCTCAACTGAAGCATTGAAGACAACAAAGAATGACCCTTTCAAAGGTTTGCAGCAAGTATTTAAGAACAGCTTCAAAGACAAGAAAGCAAAAGAAAGCAACTTTTTAGGAACAAAAGACTGTGACCTCATTAAGTCAGCATAAAGTTTTACTAGAGATCATTTCAAGGGGTCCGGATTTATTCCTGAAGCTTCAGGATTCAACATGATTGGCTGGAAGCAGTTGAAGACAATATACATCTTTCTACAAGAGCTAGACTGCTTGGAGCATTCAGCCCTAACTCCCCAATAGAATTCTGTTTTGTTTTATTTTGATAGATTTTGCATATATTGCATTTAAACTCTGGAAACTTCATTTATAAAAATACTTGCACCAGAGCTTTAAGGAGACTGGAGGACTTTATTTATTTAGACACAAACTGAGATGTGTGTCTGTTCAATACTTGTTGACATTACTGACATTGAGAGGAAGCGTGTTCTCTATTGCAGTTGTGTATAGTCGCTGACAATTGTAGCAACAGGGAGATGACAAATTAATTGTCTGGCAAGTAAGCACAAGAATAATTTATATTCAATTGACTGAAGTGTCCCATGGCATATGAAGTTAATTTCTAACTTAGAGGGAATTAAACAGTAACACCCTGGCATTTATCATCATCTTGTCTTGCACTTGCTAGCCTGGTGCTGTTTGAATTGCTGATGTCATGTCAATATTGGAAAGGCAACAAAATAGACAATGAAAATTAAGTCAGCTTCAAGGCTTACGGACCAGATACTTAGGAGGTACCAAAATGCCTTACTTCAAGATGGGTTAAATACATCTCTTTAAAAAGCTGAGTTTACACTTCTTATTCTGTCAGGAATTGAAGTTTTACAAAGAAGTTACAGAAGTGCAAAAGAAGAAAATAAAGACAGGACAGCAGCAGTCCATGCTAAACAATAAAATTCAAGAGATGATTATTAGTACCTTGATTTCAAAGGTCAGCAATTTAATTAGAAGTAATCTACATTTGGCCTGACAGGAGAAATCAACTCACATATTCACAGGGCACTCAGTACAAAAAAAATGGAGAGAGCAACAAAGCATCTCAATTAAAATGGGACGACCTCAAATATAAAATGGATGACTACCTCTCTCTCAAGTTTCCTTGCTCCTTCCACTTCCTATTCCAAGAAAAACTTTAAAATATTAGATCTACATCCCCTTTTGCCATTTAATAGGGTCCTCTTGTTTTGCACCTCACACCTCATGTTTTTCTTTATTTTGCAAACTGACTTGGAGTCAAAGAGACTATATAATCGCTAGATCTCATACCTGAACTAGACAAAAAAAAAGATACAAGTCTTAAAAGGAAAACTGTTGTTAAAAAGTGTTGACTATTTAAAATTGCTTAGAGAACAACAAACCCATATTAGTTAAAAAAAACCAACCAACCAACATCTTTCACCGTTTTATTCGATGTTCATTCTTTGGTTCTTGTAATGCCAAAATGTCATTAGTTATCTAGCTCAACACATAGGACTGGAAGGAAACTCTTGGGTCATCAAGCTGAATTCCCCTGCTATATTAAGTAGCTACATCATATAATCCTATTCATAAGCTTATTAAGCTCCATTTCAGTTAGGGTGTTTTTCCTCTACTACTTTTAATAAAATACTATTCCAGAATAGTCACTCCTTGGAAGATTAGAAAGCTTCAAATTTACAGTCTAAGTTTATTCAGTTTGTGATGGCTAAAGAAAGTGTGAACAAGGAGAAATACAACCTTCCAAGCGTCCTTTTATACAGACTATTTCCATGCATGGCTTCAATACATTACTTCAGTGGTTTCCAAACTGTCACCTACAGATTACCCATGCCTTCATATGGCATGTTTCAGTAAAGTTCATGATTACCAGCAAAAGATTTGAGGGTCAACATCAGTGCATTATCCAAACTGTTTGGAAACCACTACACTGTTAGTAAGAAGACCTGCTTATATAAATAGAATACATAGCAAAAGTACAAAAAAAAAAAAAAAAAAAAAAAGGGACTATGGATCTTCAAAAGCAAGAAAGGGCTTCTTTTTGCTTCTCTTAACAGGAAAAGATGACAATTCCTTACAACAGAAAAAAAAAAATACTTAAGGCTGTAAATAGACATTACATTTGACCCAGCCCTGATGGTCCCAGGTTTTGACCCAGATCAAAACAAGACCAGCATCATCGCATACACGTAGCCTTTCCAAGCTTCATTGATGCTCTTCTAACATTAAATGGCTGGCCAGATTGTTACGGAATGACCCATAACTTTACAGGTGCACGCTGCAATGTTCCAGAAAAAAAAAAGTGAAAGGAAATTAAGTCCAGTCAAAGAGTACAGGATAAAAAGTAGGATCATAGTCTTACATGTCTGGATGGCTGTGGGATAAAACACTTTCTCCTAGAAAAAATGCAATGTCTATTTGCAGTTTAACAGTAAGACAGTAAAATCAGAAGAGATCCTTGGGCCTCTTCAAACAATACATAAGCAATAGCTTGTTCCCATTAAACAAACTGCACACTCCCCTTACAACTCTGATGTATTAGAGCTATAAAGGCAGATAAGTGCATCTTAAAACCTCTGTCAATATTAGATTCCTTCCCTACCTCTTAAACTCTCATTGTTACTACAATACTGAAGTTGCATTTAAGATACAAAATGGTAGGCAATTTTGGGGGGTGTGGAAGAGAAGTCTAGTGTAGGCAAAGAAGAAAGGACAGGTAAAAATAAAAAAAAATAATTTAAAAAAAAAAAAGAGTCTTACCTCTGGCTTACTAAGGCTGGATGATACAAGTGAGCCAGATCCCACATCCAAGTCCCATTGCTTTTTGCCACTATTTTCCGGATCCAGTGCAGCAACTCGCCCATCCAAAGTACTGATAATTACTAATGATCTGCAAACCACAGAAACATTCAGAGTCAAACAAAGTAGCTGAACCAATTTATTTTCTCCAGTAAATAGGTATTAAAAATATTTTTTTCTGACTGCAAATCACATCTTTTTTAGCAAATAAATCCTGGTTGAATCCTGTAATTCAGAAAGTTCCACTTAGCCCACCATAAGGTAGAAGATTACATTTTGTAGCTACAGGAGTGCACCGATAAGGACTTTCTTGGCCGATACAAATGGCCAATTATTAACCAGCCATATCAGCTGATACCAATTCAATAGCCAATTTATAGGCCTGTGTGAAGCGGAAAGTATTTGTTTTAGATTCGGCGGGACAGTGATTCAAATCACTGTCCCGATTCGATTCGGCTGAATCCGAAGATATTCAGCACTGAATCTTATTCAGTCATAGACTATACAGGCAGGCAGTGCCAGCGGGAGCAGCCAGACAAGTCCTGGCTTGAGTCGGCTGCTCCCCAAGCTGGGTCGAGGCAGACAGGGCTAGCAGCTCTGGGGAAGTGATTGGGGGTTTCCCCCGCAATTTAAATCTCCCAGTTCCCCAATCATTCCCCCAGGGCTGCTAGTACTGCCTGCCTTACCCCAGCAATGGGGCAACTGGATGAGCCATGTCTTGAGCCGGCAGCCGTGGGGGATGATTGGGAACTAGGGAAACTAACAGGGGCTTCCCCCTAGCTCCTGGTTCAATCCCCCAGCTCCCAAACATTCCCCCTAGCCCCCACAGCTTCTCCTGGGGCTGGCTGCCTGCCTGCCTCACTCGGGGGGAGGGGAGAGAAAGGAGAGCTGGGGCTCATCCAGTTGCTCTTGCTGGCACTGCAGTGCCTGCCTGTACAGTTTATGGCCATATCTCCAAAATGGATTCAGAGAGATTGATGGGTCTCCCAATTCAATTCAGATTTGGAGATTCAGTGGCCGAATCTCCTCCAAATCGAAAAGCAGTTACTGAAGCTTCGCATAGCCTTACTGATTTACTGGAATGCAGCCTGGCAGCGTGGACAGCAGCCTCCTGCTGGTAGGTCTGTCGGGGGGTGGGGGTGCGCAGATTGAGGCCCCCACATTAGGGAGGGAGTACAGCAGGGCAGTGAACATGATCCTGGGCCCAGGCATGGGACTGAGCTGCAGGTGGCTTGCAGCCCCTCGCTCTCCCTTTGGGGCCGTCCATATAGACTCCCTCCGCTGCTGCCTCCTCCT